TCTCTCTCTCTCTCTCTATCTATCTATATTTGTTTTCTGAGGTTTTTGCCGGTGTTTGTATGTAGGTCTTTGGTTGTTCGGGTTTTCTCCCACATAAAATTGGAAGTGTCTTGGCGACTTCGTCGAAACGTCGCCAAGACACTTCCAATTTTACGCGGGAGAAAACCCAAACAAAGACATATATATATATATATATATATATATATATATATATATATATATATATATTGAAGTTTGATAGTGCTTTGTCAATTCCACATTTAAAGTACAATTTTTAGGAAGAATGTAGAGAAAAAAATGGATGCATCATGTTCAGACCACCCCACCCCAGCTCCACAAAGGCAAAAAACACGATACATCACAATATGTTATGTGACATGATCGAGTTTGACACCCATAGTCCAGTGGTTAAGGCAAATGCTGGTAAGCAGGAGCCTGTGATTTTATTCCTGCCTTAGACATGAAAGCCAACTGGGTACTTTCAGTCCCTCTCATCCCAGCCCACGACATCAGGCATGGGCAATAGACAGATTGACCGATTCCTGTGGCAAATTTCCAAAAAAGTGGAAAATGCCTCTCAGCAAAGCACTAGGATGAAAAAAAAAGTACTATTTGATACAAAAATAGTCTTTCTAAATAAACAAATTTCATAAAATATGTGATAATTATTCATGGATATTATTCCTATAAAATGAAAAGAAGGGGTGTTGAACATTGTGATAGTTCACAACAACTAAAAGTTCTTCATCAACAATATATTGAGCTCTAGCTACAACTCTTATAATTGTCCATTTATTTAAATTACATTATAGCATTATTTTACTTTCACATTTTTTAAATTTAAAAATCATCACCATCACCATCATTTTAGCCACTGTCTATACACTGTAGGATGAAGGCTTCTTTCGCGTGTTTCCAACCAATACGGTCCTGAGCTTTCCTTTGCCAATTGCTCCCACAATACTTGCTGATATCATCAATCCATCTTGTTATAGGTCTGTTTCGTGGACAATTTTTATCAAGTGGGAACCATTCTACGACTGCCTTGGTCCACCTGCCATCAGCTTGCTATGTGACCAGCCCATTTCCATTTCAATTCTTTTACTCTCTTGATGATATTATATACTTTGTTTTGTTCTCTAATACATGTGAAGGTTTTTCTATCTTGTCTTGTAATGCCAAGTATGTATTTTTCCATGGCTCTTTTCACCACTCTTAGCTTTTGTATCTATTGTGAGCTTTAGTGTCCATGTTTCACCAGCATATGTTAGATCAGGTAGCACAAACTAACTGAAAACTTTTTTCTCCAGGCATAGGACAAGATGGTTCTTGAAGATTATGCTTAGCTTGTTGAAAGCCTGCCAACCACATTTAACACGCCATTCAATTTCCTTTACTATATCATCTTCCATCGAAATCAGTCAATCAGAAAAGAGCTGGAAGGGACCTTGGAGATCTTCTAGTCCAACTCCCAGCTTAAGCCGGAAATCCTATACCACTTCAGATAGGTCTGTCCAGTCTGTCCACCTACAACTCCTGAAGGCAAGCTGTTCCACTGGTTAATTGTTCTTACTGTTAGGAAGTTTCTCCTTAAATCCAGGTTGCTTCTCTCCTTGATTAGTTTCCATCTGTTTTTTTTTTTGTTTGTTTGTTTGTTTGTTTTTCCTTCCAGTGCTTTGGAAAATAAGTTGACCTCTTCATTGTGGCAATCTCTCAAATACTGCAATACTGCTATCATGTCACCCCTAGTCCTCCTTTTCTCTAGTCTGGCTAAACCCAATTCCTGCAAACATTCTTCATATGTTTTTGTCTCCAGGCCCTTAATCATCTTAGTTGCTCTTCTTTGCACTTTTTCCAAAGTCACAACATCTTTTTTGTTATGTGGTGACCAAAACTGGGTGCAGTATTCCAGGTGTGGTCTTACTATGCTTTATAAAGTGGTACTAATACTTCACATGATTTTGATTCTATGCCACTGTTTATACAACTAAGGATTGTATTAGCTTGGGGTGTTGGTTATTCCTGCCAGCTTAGTTTCTTCTGCAAATTTGACGAGTTTTTCTTCTATTCCCTCATCTAAGACATTTATCAAGATATTGAAGAGTACTGGGCCTAAGATGGAACCTTGTGGCACCCCACCCCTTCCTTCCTTCCTTCCTTCCTTCCTTCCTTCCTTCCTTCCTTCCTTCCTTCCTTCCTTCCTTCCTTCCTTGTAGATGTAGTACTATTAAGGACTACTCATTGACTATGGTTTGTCAGCCAGTTACAAATCCATCTGGTGGTGATGCTGTCTATCTCACATTTTTCTAGTTTAGAAGAAATAGGTGGTGGTCTACTTTGTTGAGTGCCTTGCTGAAGTCTAAGTATATTATGTCCACAGCATTTTGCTGTTCTACTAATTTAGTTAGTTTGACAAAGAATAAAATAAGATTGGTTTGGCATGATCTGTTTTTAACAAACCCTTGCTATTTATAACTTTATTTGTTTCTAGAAGTTCACAGATCTGTTTTTTATTACTTTTTTCAATATCTTCTCAGGTATTATGTTAGGCTGATTGGTCTGTAGTTTCCTGGGTCTGTCCCCCCCCTTTTTTTTTGAAGATGGGAACCACATCAACTCTTTTCCAATCCTCTGGTAGCTCCCCAGTGCTCCAGGATTTTTTAAAGATATGGTACTGTGATTCTGAGGTAACATCTGCTGGTTCCTTCAGAATCCTTCCTTCTAAGGTGGATGATTTATATTCATCAAGATCAGACAGGTATTCTCTTACCATTTTTTTGCTTTTTAAATTTTTATTTGTAGCCTTCTTTTATAGTTATATATTTGCTAGGTTTTTATTTTTGTTTTTTGTTTTGTTTGTTTTTTACATAAAGACTGATGCAAAGAATGAATTAAGCAGCTCTGCTTTTTCTCTACTGCCTGTTACTTCCTTGCAATTTTCTCTCTTTAGCGGACCAACTGTTTCCTTGACTTTTTTGTTGTTATGTACATGTTAAAATAAACCTATTTTATTATCTTTTACTTTTGTTGCAAGTCTTTGTTCATTCTGAGACTTTGCTTTTCTGAGTTCTTCCTCGCAGATTCTGGCTATCTGCTGATATGCCTTAGTTATGTGTCCCTCTTTCCACTTTTTGTGGTTATCCTTTTTGTCTTTCAATTTATCAGAAATCGGTTGGCCAAGGTATATGTAGTGGTCTACTATGTCTAATTCTTCTCCAGATATTTTTTTCTTTCTTTGGTAAATTTATTAAACATAACATGGCTCTTTTTCAGATTTATTTTTAAGCCAAATGGTTCTCCTGTTTTGTGCAGCTCTTGTATGTGTCTTTGTAGGTCTTCTGGGTCTTGTGAAAAGAGAACAACATCGTCTGCAAATTTAATGATTTAAATAGGTGTCATTATTTTTATTCCATCTTTTGCCCAGTCTAGTTTGTGAAATACTTCTTTAAGACAGGCTGAGGAAAGGATGGGTGATATTGTATTGCCTTATCATACACCTCGTTCTATGTTGATTTCCACTTTAAGATCATTAAGGCATATTGTCGCCACTATTTTTTCGTATATTGATTGTAGTAGGTTTTATGTAGTCTGTGTCTATTGAGCAATACATTAATTATTGCTGGTGGAATACTATATAATATAATGATTTTTAGAATTTATAATATGATTTTTTTAAATAGTTATTGGTTCTTTAGTAGAATTATTATTTGATTATTAACATGTTTTTCTACAAGCAAGTTAAAAAAAATCCTGATTTTTTTTCTGAATATATAAACAAGAAATATCCAAGCATGTCTCAAATGTTATGTCATATTTGGAAGAGACACAATAAATATTATGAAATTGCTACCATCATAATAAAAATGTTATTTTTCCATAAAAATTTTGAAACTAAAAATGGTTTGAACTATCTTTTTTCATAATATTTATTTCATAGCCTAATAGCCCCTTCATATGGGCTAATGTTATACTATGAAAAGTTTAGAGAAATAGATAGGAAAAGATCACTAGGCAACAGGGGACTACATTTGATATTTGCTTGCAAAATGTCTACACATAAAATAGAGAATTATCGCAAATCGCAACAGGATTTTTTTGTTTTTGTTTTGGCTTTCAGCCTGTCTGAGGCCAAGTGGTTTGGAATCTGACTATTAGTGTGAGAAGGAAAGGGCTGTTTTCAAGAGTTCTGGATATATATTTTTCTAGAAAAGGAGAGAACTCTCAAATAAACCTTATGCCTCATAATAGAAAACATGTGCATATACTCATATACAGCTGTTGGAGGAGGATGTTCTTTTCATTTACTTTACAATTAATATTGAGTAAAATAAATATTGCTCTTCATCGTCCTTCCTAGTAATTTCTTTTTCTTCCTTTGGTTTAATATTTACAACATAGGTTTTCATGACATACCTAAACTTTCATTTTTTCCCCAAATCTTCATTTCTTTGACTTTTAAAATATTTAAATCATATTTGTGTGTGTGTGTTATTATTTTGCTATTATCACCCAGTTTTTCCCTTTTTATCTCTCTTTAGAAAATATTGTTCTTGCATTTTAGTTTAGCTTAGAGGTTTATGGCTACTTTTTTCTTCATTACTTTTTTCTATATATCAATGTATATCAATATAGCAATATTGATAGTGGCTATCTGTTTAGTAGCAATATCACTAGAGGGCAGCATTGATTAAATTAACCTATTTAATAATGAGAACCATAAACTTGCATTTTGAAAAGAAGTAAAAATATCTGATATAAATCTGGGTACTTTTCTATTGTAACATGAATCAAAGAGTTCTACATTTTACAATATCCCTATGCAATCTATAAAATATATGTGATTTTCTTTTTAAACCATACTATTATTTTCTTAAAACCTGTTTTATGTCAGAGAAGGTAAAGCTGTAATAAAAGTTATAAGGATAGAATCAGTAAGTGTTTAATTTATTCATAAAAATTAAAATTAAGATATTGACCCGGTTGTTCTTATTGAATTACAGGTCTCCTGACAAATGCAGCAATGAAGAAATCTTGTAGGAGTTTTTAGGCTCGGTGTGAGCTACGTTCCCTAATCAAGTTTCACTGCTGTGGATCATCATCCATTTTATATCATCAGTTCAACTGTCTATTTCTCTGTATTTCATTGAAGAAAGCATAATTCTACATTATGAGCTAAAAGTCTGTTCTACCCTATTAAAGAAAGTTGGACTAAGGAATCAAGATCTAAAAGAAAGGCTTGGGTGTTAGCAATACAACAATCATAACCACAGGTCCACGGTTAATATTGCATCTGAGTTATGTTCCACTGCTGGACTTGATCTGTGGTTACAATAATCTGAAAAGTCAACTAAAATGAAGAGTACTCATCCCAATCAGCCTTAGAAAAGACAGTTTTGTCTACAGAAGGACGCTAAGGTATAGAAGACATTTTTTCTTGTGCCCTAGACTGCCTGAATTGCTTTTATTTTCTTATGTTTCAGTATATACAATAGACCAAAGAGCAAAATCTATTTTAAAGTGGACACGATGTTACTGTTAACAAGATTATTTAGATTCAACAGTATGAAGACCACCCTGTACAAAATCAGTTCACTCTGTGATGAAATGTTACTTTCCAGCAAAAGCCTTTATGGGACACTGCAGAAGAAGCTGGAGCTACTCTTGAAAAAAAGTACCCTAAAAATCGCAAGGAAACATGGAGAGATTATGACCAATCTGAAAGAAGAAAACAGAACTTTTGATTCAAAACAAGACAAACTGTCTACGCACCATTTTACTCTGTGCTTAGATTGACGTATCGTACAAAAATCATTCTAAGTTTAACCAGTTCAACATGCCTCTTCTATGGTTCCATTCTTTGATCGTTAAAAGTTGGATAATACAGTATTTGCAAAGAGCATGTTTGGTCATCTGTGGCCTATGTCTCACCCGATACATTTAGCGCCAGAAAGCAAATCCAGGGGGACGGGGGGGGAGGTAACACTTGTTTGAAAGAGATCATTAAATGTATTTTGGAAAGCCTAAAGTTATATATTTAACAGTTTTTATATGTTGTATATTTGTAGAAAATCCTATTTAACAATTAACGTGGACGGTCATGACAAAAAGGTTCAGAGTTGAGTTGTTGTTTTTATTACTTCAGTTGTCTCTGAAGTGACTGATGTAGTTTGCTTTCTTCCATTGGGACATTCTGGATGTAAAGCATGACTAGAGAGGAATCTGTAGAAAAGCAAAGAATAATGGTGTTTATATTACATAAATGCATTCAACCATTACACTGTTGAAAGGCTTCCTTTCTTTTTTCTCTTTTTCTTTCTCTTTCTTTTCTTTTCTTTCTTTTCTTTTTGTTTTCTTTCTTTCCTCTTCTTTTTCCTTTTTCCCCTGGGAAGGGAATGATAGTCTTTTAAATGCCAGTAAAACAGTGTAAAATAGTTGAATAGTCATTATTTTCCATACTGAGTTGCATTCTTTCTCTCTCGCTCCCCCACCATGCCACCCCCCCTTCCTAATTTAGTGTAAAGGTCAGCTTGCTCCTTAATCAAGACGGGTTTGTTTTTTTTTACATCACATTTTTGAAAACTCCCTTATTCAACATTATGGTAGGAAAAAAGTTAAAGGAAAGTGGTATTTTAAAAAGGGAAAAAAGGAAAAGCATTGATACCTTCAAATAGAGTATCTTCTTTGTCTATAAGTCTGGCTCATAGTGATATGATTAGGTCAAGAAATGGGCTTACTTCTTCCCCTCAAAATATTTGTCAATATTAAACTTATTCTCAATGTCCACTGTAGTATACTACCTAAATACTCCAATTAACTTTTAGTATTATGCTAGTTCTATGCTACTAAAGAAAAATGTATAGGGATTGTTCAAACAATCATAGATAAGAGGTATGGGGGAAAATAGTTCATTTAATCAAGACCTCTCCCAATTTTCAATATTATTTTATTGCACAAGTTGAGGAAATCATGAGCTATAGGTGACAGTGTCTATGAATAAAACATAGGTGAGGATGGTCTTAATTCATTGTAAAAGTTCTGATCAGTGTCCAGGTAGCAGGTAGCATTTAAAGCCCAGCCACTTGAAAAATATTATGAACTGAGTACACTACAAATGATCAATATCTGATTTAAAATGTCATGCAATAAATGATGGTAGATACTTCACCTGTATAATAAGAATTGGAGTGCCAGATCCTTCACTGTTATTTTTTCTTTTTCTTTTCCTTTTTTGGAGAGAGTATAGTAGCCTTATTTAGTAAATACTGAACAAAACTTAAAATGTTTCAAGTTTTTTGTTGCTTTACAGTTTTGTGTTGGTTCAGCTAAATTATGAAAAAAATAAAAGCATTTTATAAGTGAGATTTCTGGTCACTGCTGATGAAGTGAGGCAATAATTCAAAGGAGGGAGGGAAAGGTAAGAAAAGAGTCCTGTGAGGTAAAAGGAATAATTTATTTGGGGATGAAAGAACTATTAGGATTATTCCTGTATTGTGCCAAATATGATTATAAATATAAAGTGATGACCAATTTTCTACAATTTAAAATGTTTAACTACAATAAGTGATAAATTTGTCAGCAAATATGTGCATTTAAGCGACTGCAATATTTGGGCCTTGTAAAAGCTATTTTGAAAGTTAGTAAAAGAGTCTTTGTCTAGCCGAGGGGTAGGCAACCTTGGCTCTTTTATGACTTGTGGACTTCAGCTCCCAGAATTCCTGAGCCAGCCATGCTGAGGGGAAAGGGAGAGATTCCAAGCTGAGCCATGCTGGCTCAGGAATTCTGGGAGTTGAAGTCCATGAGTCATAAAAGAGCCAAGGTTGCCTACCTCTGCTCTAGCCACTTCTGATAGGGGGATCCCTCCAGAACAATCCTAACATTTGAGTTGTGCATTTAGTTTTAATAGCATAAGTGCATACTTTTCCTTGTCCTATGATAAGGATATGCTCTTGATTTAAAGATAAATCTGATAAACAATGTGCTTACTAATGGATGGAGAATGGATGGACTCAAACCTATGATTTCAAAATTACATCCTTTGAAAAGTTCATATTGCATTTCTTCTCCTTTTCTTACTACCCTGAAAGGTAATGATAGTGTTTTTTAAGTTTATTGTATTGTTAGCATAGAAGAGAATGACACTGGAAGCTTTCTAATTTTTGTAGCAATGTTTTTTTTTATCATTTCGAATCCTCCATGGCTGCCCACATATGCCCACTCTGAAATAGCCAAAAGTTGTTTTCATGGTATTTTCCTTTGGCATTTAACAAAAATTTGGAAGCCACAGGAGTCAACTGACCATTGATGAGATGTTACCATATTATCATAAGTTGTTATGACAGGACATTCACACATACCTTTCGGCCATCTCACCGTTGCAGTGCATTGTTTAACCAGCCAAAACCTTACAGTTTAGAGTTTGAATTTGAACCTGTGAGAAACATACATTGCATGCAAATAAACTCTATTTATTTATTTGCAGTAATAAAATCATTTAAGAGAGGTAAAAAAATGTTACATTACCCTTGATGGTTGCTGTGGAAACTCAGTGTCAGGATTCCTCTGTAAACAGACTCATCTGGTAATGTGGATGTAACCGGTTGGCTTCCTCTGAGTACATTCCAAAACAGGGTTGGTTGAACGGGTTATGTTTTTGGAGAACTTCCTCCAATATTATTATGAGTACTTGTTTACAATCTTATGAAAATTATTCTTCCTGGCAGGGCTGCCTTTGTTCAGACAGGCCAAGAAAAACACTGCTAAATACCTGACAGTGAAGACCTCTTAAAATAAGGTAAGTGTTTGAGGGAGAAGAACAACTACATTATAGCAAGTACATAATCAACTGCCTTCCAAGCACACTAGTGAGTAATAGAGGTTCAGTAAACTAAAATACTTTTACTGGTTATACTTTCAGGCTGAGGATTGTGATTCAGCTAACTTATTCTCCTCTTTCAGGGTCTTCTAATGTGGGCAACGTTCCTTATAGCATTGAAACTAAAATAACCATAATGATACCACCTTCTTTTTCTGCTTTGAAAGAAATTTCAAAACCATTTTTAATGCAAGAAATCCAGCATGTTTGTTCCGTATAGGCTAAGTGTTAAGGAAAATTTCTAAATATGAGAACACTAAGGCTCTGGCTTCTATTACGTAATTGTATCAAATGGCATTAATTATTGTTCTTGCAAATCTGGAGTTCATTGGATTTTAGAACCATGTACATCCAGAAAAATCAAATGAAGAGCAATATACCATGTTTAAATGACAACTTTTACCTTTGTTTTATATGACAAAAGCTACCAACAAGCATCAAAATGTCCAAACTTTATTTGCAAAATGTACTCAGTTTGTTTGGCTATATACATTTAACACAAGAATTAGTTTGGCGCAGTGATCAAGGCATTAGGCTAGAAATCAGAAGACTGTGAATTTTAAGCTCTCCATAGGCACAAAGCCAGTTGGGTGACCTTGGGCTGGTCTTTCAACCATTGGAAGGAGGCAATGACAAAGCATTTTTCAAATCTTGCCACAAAACTGCAGGAACTTGTTCTTGCTAACTCCAAGAATCGGACACAATTGAAGAAAAAAATAAATATTATGCCTCTACAATATAGAGTGCAGTACTGCAGGCCACTTTAGCTGACTGTGTTCAGCAGGTCAGCGGTTCAAATCTCACCGGCTCAAGGTTGACTTAGCCTTCCATCCTTCTGGGGTAGGTAAAATGAGGACCCAGACTGTTGGGGGCAATGTAAATATATATATACATTGCTTACTGGTGTACACCGCTTAGAGAGTGCTTGCACTTAAAGCGGTATATAAGTCTCATAAATAAATAAATAAAATAAAATCCTATAGGCATTAAGACTTACTTAGACGGGGTGGTGGTGAAGGGGTCAGAATTTATTTTATTTTTATTTATTTTATTATATTTATAAAGTTGTCCAGCTGTATAATGGTTGGATAACAAAGCTTTTTTAATAGCATTATCTTTTTATGATTTGGCTGTCATAGCCAAAGACTTTTAAAAAAACCCATCACATTCCTTCTATGACAAGCAAATTAATGTCTAAGCTGCTGTGATGCAGTTGTAATGCTTGAATATGATTAACAAGAGACTATGAATAAATCATAATAAAAATGAGTGCAAATCAATTGAGCACCCTGTCATTCAAATATTAAGAACACATGAATTGCCTTGTAGCATAAGATGAGGATCAATCCAATTTTGTATTGCATTTCAAGAATTTGTAACAGGATCTCGCTGATAATTCAGTCAGAACATTTTCAAAGTAGATCGATTGAGAGGGGTAACCATTTTTCAAATATTAATATAGTCATTTTAATAGAATTCCTTTGGTCTTAAATCTGACAGCCCAATTCACGTTTGCTCAGTATTAATTCATTCAATTTAGCAGAGTTTAGTAGGACACAGTATTAGTAATTATTTTTATTTATACACACAGGTGGAAGTCCAGTATTTTACCAGTTATTTAAAAGATGTATTCATAAAGGGTGATACGGATAAAGTAAGAGATTTTTCTACCAATTTTGTCAATGTTTTTTATTGTTTTGAGGCAAAATAATAAGAAATTGGATTAAAACACTTTGTAAATCCTCAAGCCCCAAATATAAAGATAAACATAGTTCTTGCTATGGGGATACTGGTAAAGAAGATTGCAAATGGTGATGACACAATTACAGGGCACTTTACAATTGGTTGTAAGAGTGAACAGATTGCCAAGCATCCAGATGGATATTATGTGATTGTAGTGGGAGAAATGATGTTCCCTACCAGAAGTCAACCACACAAATTCAGTACAGGTAGTCCTAATTTAACAACCACAATTAGGGACAGCAACTTAGTTGTTAAGCAAAACGATCACAAAGTGCAACTGTAGCTGTACCCATGATTTTACTTCAGCTTTCCTTTGATTTACAGTTTGTAAAGTTATTTCTTCATAACTTTCATAACTGTAAAGGGTCACTAATCAATGCAGTCATTAAACTAGGACTGTCTGTAGTACAGTTCCTCTACATATTGGTTTTGTAAGCTATGCTACCTCTGATACTAAAGGTAATATATAGTCATGCTGACTAGTCCTCATTTATAGCTTTATCCTCTAAATCTCCACCTAATTCTCTTTAAATACCATCCATTATTACCTCATTTGGAAACATCTTCATAATGGCCATTATTGAGAACCCTAACAGTTGTATGAGGTCCATACAATTGGAATGCACTCAAGCACAGAAAAGCTGAAATGCTTTCAAATAGTTATAACACTAAAAATGTTATCATCATCCTGGTCTTGCAAGCAACAGCTTATTTCCTGGATTATTTCCTGTATAAATCTGTATATATCCATCAAGCTAATCTCATTACATAAAAATAAGATTACTGAGGCAGGAGTTTCTGATGGAGTAAATGAGGTGGAAATCAGAAGATAAACCAAAGACAAATATCACAGATGTTCTTCTAGCTAAAATCTGTCAGAATTGAGTCATGGTATCTTTATGGATCAGTGCTACTCCTGTAGGCTTTGTTATGCCCAGCAGCTTTTGATACTATCTCAGCATTACAGGATCTGATCAGGCCAGGTTTCCTTCAGCAGGTTTTTCCCAGAGAGCCTTAATTCAACTAAGTATTTCTTGGCAGCCTAGCCTCTGGTCTTCACTTTCAGATGACAGTTTTCAAAATGACTGGATGGAGAATTCTTCTAGTCCAGTTCAGAGTCTACTGTCTACTGTCCAGAGCAGTAATAGAGAGATCGCTTTCTCTTAGTTCTTAGAGTCTGACAATAGAAGGTTTGGCTCTTTATTATCCTCCTCATTGTCCAAGTTCCAGAATTTTTGCCATCTATATCCTTGATCATTGCTATGTAATAATAGTTTGTATTTCATCAGTCTGCTAAGAATAGTCATGTAGATAGTGATTTTTTAAAATCCTGCTAGATTCTCTTTATAAAAAGTAGCCTTCTATTTTCACATTTTCTTGTCCATTAAGGCAGGACCTGGCCTTGGATAAGTTAGATATTTTTGTTGGAAAATGAGCAACTTAGATGACACTAAGCTGGCAGGAATAGCCAACACCCCAAGTTAATAGTCTTGAAACAATGGGCCCTATCCAACAACATGAAATTCAATATGGAGAAAAGCAAGGTTTTACACCTAGGTAGGGAAAACTAAAGGTATAAGTACAGATTAGGTGAAACCTGGCTCAAAACAGTAATTGTGAGAAAGACTTTGGTGTCCTAGTGGATAATCACTTAAACATGACCCAGCAGTATGCAGCAGCTGCCAAAAAAGCTAATACAATCCTTGGTTGTATAAACAGAGGTATAGAATCAAAATCATGTGAAACATTAGTAGTTTTATAAAGCCTTAGTAGGACCACACCTGGAATACTTCATCCAATTTTGGTTACCACATTACGAAAAAGATGTGACTTTGAAAAAAAGTGCAAAGAAGAGCTTAATCATCTTAAAATGATTAAGGCCTGGAAACAGAAACATACGAAGAACGGTTGCAGGAATTGGGTATGTCTAGTGCAGTGAAAAGAAGTACTAGGGATAGCAGTGTTCCAATATTTGAGGGGCTGCCATAAAGACGAGAGGGTCAATCTATTTACCAAAGCACCAGAAGGCAGGACAAGAAGCAATGGATGGTAACTAATTAAGGAGTGAAGCAACCTAGAACTAAAGAGAAATTTCCGAACAATGAGAAAAATAAAC